GGAGATTTGCTTGCAGATTTGGTTTCAGATCTGGTTTCAGATCTCGGATCCGGGCGTTGTGAAGACTGGAGTTTAGGTTTGTGTGGGTCTCGATCTGAGATTGTGGATGAGATGGTGCTATTTGTCGATTGCAAGGCTGCCGTTTGGGCTAGTCTTGAGTTTCTCTCCATTTGTCTGCTCCGTTTTGGACTCTCTCGCCAGTTTCTTATCTCCTCGCCATATGCCTTGTCGGAGCTTGCCTTCGGTTAGTGGGTTATGACCGGTTTGTTTCTGTGTGCATGAACTTGCTTTCGTTTTCTCGTGAGTTTCTGTTTCTGGATCTGTAGCTTATCGTCTAGGAGGTGTGTGTTTGTGGAGTTCTGGTGTGTAGTTTCTTTGTGGGTTTCAGTTCTTCCGGTGAATTATGGGGATTGGGGCAATGGTTTTGGTGCTTCGGTTAGTTAGAAAGTGGTTCTAGTTCCGGTTCATGTGCAATGTCGTTTAATGTTCTTCGAGTTGGGCTTTGGTGGAATGATTGGCGTCGGTTTGTCCTCTGATGCGGCTTCTCCGCTCAAGAACGCGCCTCCTCTTAGCGTCCTTCAACTCTTGATCTTTTGTGCTTGTGTAATCCGGTCTCTTTGGTTACTTTCTTTGGTGAAGAGTCTTCTCTTCAAGCTTTGTTGTTTATGGTTTTTGAAGAGGAGAGCAGTCTCGAGGCTCAGTTTAGACTATTTGGGATATTATCGCATCTTCAAACTCTGTTGCTTTCGTCGCTTGGATGGTGTTTCTTCTTGATTGATCCCTTTGTTTTGGTCCCTCTTAGTTTGCTCATGCTTTGTCTGCTTGAGGTGGTGACTAATCTGCGCAGCTGCGATGGTGTGTCGTTTGGACTTTTGGCATGTCGGACTCGTGTCTTTTGGCTTGTCTTTCTTGTAGTCTGGTTTAGTCTCTGTCCATCCACTATTTCTTTGCCTTTGGGTAATGTTTGTGGCTGAACTTGTTTTATTTCCCATTTTTAGTAGTCTTAGTGGTGAAGTGCTAGCCTTGGTAGTTTGGTTTGAATTTCATGGTCCCTTTGATGTCCTTGTATGAGCTTTGTATCTGGGGAATCAAGTTTGTCCGCCGGCTTAGCTTTTGGTTCCAGCTTTGTAATCTTTTCGATTTCGTACTAAGTTTAGTAAATATTTCAGATGCCAAAAAAAAAAAAACCCAATATGTTGTTTGYAACATGTTTTTTCATACTTCGTGTAGTTTAAAGTACATTTTATAAGTTGGTGTAGTTTAAAACATATTTTTATACTTCGGATAGTTTTCTACATATTACCCTATTCTTGGGTAGCTTACAACCATTTTCCCGAATTTATATGTAATAAACCCTAAACCCCCATCATAAAACTCTCTTTATTTGAAGATTCCATTCGTATCTTCGCTGGGAAATCAACGGTAATGGAGGAGAAGCTTAGGTATCTGAGTCTCGTCGGAGCCGGAGCTCTAATCGGATCATTCTCCACCGTCGCTCTCCTCAAACTTCTCTCTAGGCAAATAAAGAAAAAAAAAACCCTTTTATCATCTCGTTTCGTTATTCCCGATTCCAGATTGAAATTTCGTGTTTTCTTGTTGCTTTATCCATTGCAGGAGCTCACTGAAGCAGCGTGATGAAAACCCAGCAACTAAGCTCTTAGGTACTCGTGATTATGCAACTCTATTTACTGTAAGCTGCAACTTGAGATTGAAGAAGAGGAAAATTTTAGTTTTTGTTTCTGTTCAACGTTTGGTTCCAATTACAGAGATACATAATTTTGCAGGGAATGGTATTGAATCTGAAACAAACCCAGCAGCAATTGGTCAGGATCTTTTGAATGATGAGATTGTTTCTGAACATTTAACCAGGTACCTTTTGATTTTGCCGTCTTCATTGCAATGATATGAATCTGAATAAGCCTGTCTTGTTTTGTAATTAAAGGGCAAGCATAAGACTCAAAAGAAATATCTTCTTTTACCTTTTGTTAAGTCACTATGTTGTGATGTGTGAATCTTTTTTTAATGATGCTATTTTGATTCTGAAAGGTTTAATGCTGATTTATTCTCTTTAGGAATATCCAGTTTTTCGATCTTGAATCTCAACGTAAAGTAACTGGATCATATGTTGTGGTCATTGGACTTGGAGGTGTAGGGAGTCATGCTGCATCTATGCTCTTAAGATCAGGTGTTGGGAAACTCCTCCTCGTTGATTTTGACCAGGTATTGTGGTTTATGGTCTGTTTCACACTTTGTTCCATTTAGTTTTCTTTTTTCCCTTCCATGTATTCATGCACTTGTTCTTTAATTACATGAGAAGGTGTCACTTTCATCATTGAATCGACACTCTGTTGCAACGCGAGCAGATGTTGGTATTCCAAAAGCTGTATGTCTCAAGAAGCATTTCTCTTCAATCTTTCCTGAATGCCATGTAGAAGCCAAGGTGATGCTGTATGACACATCGTCCGAAGAAGAAATTCTTTCAGGCAATCCAGATTTCGTTTTGGACTGCATTGACAACATCGATACAAAGGTATCCTCTTCTTTACTGACTTGAATTGATCCGGTCTAATTCCAATATGGAGCATTGTGAATTCCACAACAAAATCATTACTAGAATTTTATTTCATATTTTTGAAAAACCAGATAAATCACTTAGACATCCTCAAAATTCACTTTAAGGCACCAAATCTAAAATCCATCAAATTATTTAAGATCCTTGATTCCATGGTATTGGATCATAGCATTTCTGATGTTTGAGAATTTCATATAGTTTTTAACATGTGATGCACACTGATACATATGATTGCCTCATTTCAAAACAATATTAGGTGGCGCTTTTGGCTGCATGCGTGAAGAGGGGTTTGAAAGTTTTATCTGCAACTGGTGCGGGTGCTAGAGCTGACCCAACAAGAATCAGAGTGGCTGATATAAGAGAGTCGACAATTGACCCATTATCTCGATCTGTAATACTTCTAACTCTTTTTCTCTATTGAAGGACTTTGTGTAAGCATTAATGAAATAGATTATGCATACAGAATTGATCTCAGTACTATTACTGCTTACTTTTTGATCTCCTACGTGGCTCTTCATTTTTCAGGTAAGACACAGATTGAGGAGAGAACACAGCATTGAAGGAGGCATTCCTGTCGTGTTTTCCCTGGAAAAACCAAAAGTGAAGTTGCTTCCTTTTAAGGGGACAAATGGGGAAGACGAGAATCCTTCAGATTATCAGGTAACTGATTTCAGTTCTTGAAACGCTGAACATTTACATCCAATCGTTACATTAGTCATTGATCTTATAGCTTGTTTGTAATTTTCAGGTAGTTCCTGGCTTTCGTGTCCGGATAATTCCTGTTCTCGGAACCATCCCGGCTATTTTTGGACAAATCATGGCCTCCTATGTTATTACACAACTTGCAGGTGTGCAAGTTCAAATGGAGCCTATCGTGAATCTAGATTTGGATCATTACCGAACGCTTCATCAACGTCTCATTGAACATGAAGAGACAGTTTATGGAACATCTGCAGAAGTCCAGGTATTCAAATTGGTCTCAGTGATAATATACTGTGGTGTTGCTATAACTTTTAAAGAAAAAGACTAATTGAAAGAGAACCGGTAACTAAGACTCATTTGGCCCTTGAAACTGCTTGTGAAGTTAAGGCAGGTTCTTGAGAAATGCTCTAAACTCTGGTTCATTTCTTGGAAATGATTAAAGTTTGTTCTCCTTTTGTTTTCGGTAGGTGGATGTTGAGGAAGTGATGTACATAGTCAAAGAGTTGTGGCACGGACGAAGTGCTAGAGATCAGGCTGCAAAAGATGTTGGAAGAGGAATGTGGCGAGCCATGAACGAGTTGATGCTCATAAGGTATGTTCGATTCAGTGATTGAAATCCAACCCAAAAAAAATAGAAAAAATTATCGGTCTCATAATGTGAATGTATGATTAATCAGATGGGATGCAAAGAAGCCAGCGTCAGTCTCGAACTTGATCCTTTTGAAGTTTAAAGAGGTTTGGTTTTGCATAATGATAATAGTTTAGTGTTGCATGAGTCCATCGATATTGGTGGGTTTGTTACAGTTTGAGGTATCATATATAATAGGCGGATGAACATGAGGCTAAGACTATTGAGGAAGTGAAAGAGAGAGAAGCAGATTTCTTTGAAAAAGTTTCATGCGTGCTGAAGAAGGCAGAGCTGGATTTCTGTGTCTAGAAGACAATAACACATTGAACATCAATCACGCAGGTTTGTTTCACATTTAGATAGATTTGACATTGTCTCTTGAAGAAGCTTTGCTTATTGTTTCTCTCACTATGGTCTAATGTGGACTATGGCTTCTCTCACTATGGTCTTATCTAGACAATGTAACCACTTACCTCTCTTTAATCATTCATTATAATGTATGGGTTTCTCAAAAAAATAAGAATTTTTTTTTTAACAAGTAGAATCAAATTTGCGATAGATTATACAGAGAAATGTAAATGCTATTACCGTTTTCTATGAGAAGGGTTTGAAAAATGAGGTAAAAATATATTTGAAGTAACAACACAAACAAGTATTTTTTGGCTTTCCATAGCTTTTAGCGCACATACCGATCACCTCCTAAAACACTAAATTATTTATTACTATTATCATCACTTTTGAAAATAAGCCATTATTAATAGTTAATAATTCCAAAGACCACAAAGATGTTTTCGTCGGATCCATGGTGGGTTTGGTGTACGCTCCTCTAATCTATTTTATTAATGTTAGAAAAACAAAAGCAAAATAGGAAAATTAAATTACATCAACAAACGCTTACACCAACGCATCATATATTCTTGACTCTTTTTTTTGTTGTCACCTAATGAAAAGCATATATGTTTTTCTTGTCTACCTACGTCTACGTGATTAAATAATGTAATTGTTAAAGATAAAATAATTATTTTTGAGTTAAACGAATCGTTTAACACTATATGTCTTTAGTTTAGGCGAATTTTTTATCGTCATTTGTGTACTTGGTTTAATAGACCGAGTTGAAGAAGTATTCGAGTCTAAATCAACAATGGTCCAAATAGTTTGATGGATAAAACTATTTGTAACTTAATCCTGTCTCAAGTAGTGTGATCACACTGCCGGGGATGATCTGGCTCAATGGTAGAGTGGTCACACAAACAAATACCACTTTAGTACTCAAAAACAACACACGACGGCCGAATTTTTGTATCATGAATGCGGACAATGTATGACATTCTTTCTTTCATTCTAATTCATTCAAAATATTAAAATCTTTCACCATATGCTTGTTAAAGTAAAAGCAACTGGTCTCTACACATAAAACGATTAAAGCAAGCAAAACTAATACCGAGAAGCACTCCGGTGTCAGATCGCCTCATCAGATACTACCACCAGTATGGAGAGGGTTAGGATCAACGTCGCAAAACTGTACTTTTAGAAAACTGGCACGAAAAGACAAAAAATGTTAGGTGAAAAGCAATCGCGTGGTTCCATACCAAATCAAACCTTAGAATATAGACCCGACTCAACAAAAGATACGGAGCCTGGTATCCGTGCTCAAACAGGTAAAAGACTATAAATACTCCCCTCACTTGATAAAAAGATTCATACTCGATTCTAAAAAACACTCATTGAACCCACTTTTGTCTCTCAAGACTAAGGCCCAATTTTTTTTTGATTTTTAGCTTTTTTTTTGCTATTTGTAGTCATTCACTCATATTCTCCTCAGATGTCTCTTTTCCAATCGTTCTTTAACAATTTCTCTCACAAAATACTTTATTTTCTATCTGTCACACCACAAATTTATTCACTTAGACGTCATGATACGCTGCAGAATACTCCTTGTTTGGTCAGACGTCA